CACTCTGAAATCACTCCAGGGAAAACCACAAATTTATCTTTAAAACAGAGAGGCATGATTAAACATTCCTCTGCTAGCAAAAGAAAAAAAAAGAAAAAAAGAAAAAAAGAAAAAAAAGCAAAACAATCAGCAGGTCTGGGAGGTTATTGCTGTATTCAAGCTACCTCTCAACCGTTCATGAGTGATCTCATGGAATTTGCCAAAGAAACTTATTACTGTGCACCATCTGACCAAATTTACTTGTTGTCCCAAGCTAAATTTGCTACCAAATATGTATTGATAGCCACACGCATAGATGGATTTCTATTGGGCATCTTCTTCTTTAAGGCACCCATATTCCTGAATTTAACATACACCAAACCCATAGTAGTGATTAATAAACTGTTACCATAACCAGTTTCTTACACCTGAACCTTTCACCTTGTTTTCAGTGAAAACAATTTCAAAGCACGAATGTACAGATCACCAGAACTCTAATTTTATTCTTCCAAATTACACACACGCTAACTAGGAAGCCACCTTAACGATCAGCATTTCCACTGGGCTTTTACAGAAGCCATGGGGGGCTTGAGGGGGTCTTTTCCTTTCTTTCTTATTAGCTAATGCCTGGGAGGTCTTAACTCATAAAATTTCCTTGCTTGCTACCGCCAAAATTAAAGCCATAATACCACAAGATCTATGCTAAGTTCACAGTGTCACAGACTTGTTCTGTGACCTTTGGCAAAGTACTTTATCACAAGCATTTATACGACCATGGTTTCAGTAATATATTTATAGGGTCCTACACGTTGCAAGAGAAACCTCCTTTGTCGGTGAAAGTATAACATAACTAGTGTCAGTTCACCACTAACACAAAAATTGCAGGTAATGCTTTCATTCCTTACATTTCATTTATACACTTGGTAACCCTTTGGATGGGATAACTCAACAGTCTTCTAGAGGAGGCACGTACACAAAACCTGCACGATACCCTCCAGTTGTAACAAGGGCCCCTATGAAAATATAAATATCCCTTGGCAGGATTTTTTTTTTTTTTAATATTATTTCTGGAAAAATATTCCTGACTACTGATAAGGGTACTCCCAGGTAGACTAAGTTTGAAAGTAAAAAAATTTGCTAGCTATGGTAAAGGACATAAAATGGTACTTTGCAGGTTTTTAACCTGCTGCAAAGCTTCAAATGTTTAAGTTGCTTGCTTCCATTTCATAGCCTCTATAACCTTTAAGACAATGGCAAAGATTCCTGCAGACCAAAAGCTCACCAATGTACCCCCAGATTTCCCACTTTGGAATGAAAATAAAATTCTGTAACGTAGCTCTGGGAAAAGAAACTCTCAATGGTACAAAATGTAACTGCCCCTCCAAGCCCACATCTGTATTTGAATGTCCTGGTGGTGAGACCTTAAGGTATTCAGAGGAGTGAGATGGAGCTGCTTTTACCCTTTACTTAAAGCACTCCAAAAACACCAACAGCCCTTTTGATCTTCAAAGGTAGTGTTAGTGGACCGCAGACCACAGCAAGATAAAGAATACTCAGTTCTGCTGGGTGAAACATGAAAATCGCAAACAAGTCTCCTCCCTGCTCATTATGCCCATGCACAGCACAGCCTTTCTTCTTCCCTTGCTCTCAGTCCAGCAGGGTTTCCCAAAGTTACAACAATCTGTAGCTGCAGAGGCTCCTTTGGATCCCTTGGACATTTTCCTTTTTCTTTTCCCCTTTGAAACTCAGATGTGAGTCTTTCTATAACTCTTCTTCATGTCCCCATCTGTGCTGCAAAAATCCCAGCTCGTTGCCTCCTTCCTGCCTAACTCCTCCCCTGGGAACTTCCCCAAATGAGCTTTCTCAGGTCCTTCCGGGCCCTGTCTTTGCCTCAACCCCCCAAAACGCCATCAGACTCAACCTCCGGTGGCAGAAAGGACAACTCCAGGAAACAGTCCTCCTGTTGCATAGCCAAGTCCTTTTATCAGAAAGGCCAGTAAAAGACAGTAAAGGGTGAAGAACCACACACAAAGGGCATCATCTCCATCAGAGCTTGGAAAACGATGATGTCCTTGTCAGGCTGCGCTGAGATAGTTCGCTCAAAGCAAACCTTTCCAGTGGTGTCTATATTGCTACCAAAAAAGTCCCTCGTACCAGCGAGTACATTTAACTGTGCATCTCACTGATACCAGGGCTATTTTTTATGTTTATAACCTTTCAACTTAGTACAGAAGGAGTTATTTCTGTAAAATTAAGTTGAATCTTACTTTTGGTGCATGTTGCTGTTGTTTATATGGAACTAGTGTGGAGAGGTCTCTCTCAAACACGTTTATCCACTGCAGAAATGCCACACAAAAATCAGGAGAGAGTTTGGGACACAAAAAGCGTACAGCCTAGATGGACACAAACACAGGCAAAACCCTTTAAAATATTACACTGATTTTGTGAGATTAAGGATTATTATTCGCTTCTTTGAACTCTTATTCTGAGATGTCTTAGAGAAGACCTGGCAGAACCCAATCTTCACTGTATTTAAACATATTTCCTGAATCCTTATCTGTTTAGATATGGTTTGCAGAGACTCATGTCTTGGTTTTTGTCAAAGATAACTGAGGGGTTACGCAGGTCTAAACATAACTCTTCATTTCAGCAGTAAGACTCGAGGAAACTCTGAATTGCAGCACTTTATACTGAAGGGATCCCTAAATGATTCTTTTCTTCTCACAATCATTCAAGAACTTGAAAGTCCAAGGAGTAGCCTCAAATCTCTCATTCCCATAAATTTAACAGAGGTCACGGCATGGCCAATTCAGCTGAAAAGTGTTATTACAGAAAAACTTGATGATACTTTTATGTTCACTGATGTGAACATAATTCTCTGGGTCTTTTAGCTACATAGAGCACGTCTTATCCATAGAGACACTTCAGCAGATATATACGGCACCATGAGCAAAGTTAAAAGTGATGAATTCTCTGATTTATAACTTCTACTGATAACAAGATGATAGAAATTCTTAAATGTATGGGTGTTATTACATACACTGTGTAACTTCGCTCAGCAGAGAAGGGATGTGAAAGAAAAAAAAAACCCATACTTACCACACCTGAACTAGGGGGACAGTTCTTTGAATGACCCTTGTTGCCTGTAAAGAATTGAGCTGATCTCTAACCAATGCACAAAAATCTTAACGCTAGGGTTAGCTTTGTCGGTGCTAAGTGTGGATGTGGGTCTATAATCCTTCTTCCTTTTATCCTCCTTCATGGAGGAAGAAAGACACATATATAGAAAAGCTTTTATTCTTGACAGATTTAATCTTCTAAAGATAGCTCAAGCTACTGCGTTGACATTGCACCTCCTAAAGATCAACCACCAGATTTTAACCACGTAGGCACAAGAAACTAATTATTATAACGAAACTCATTAGTGATGAGGAGCTAGACAAACAGGCCAGATCCAGCTTTGGTGACTGACAAAACTGCACTCAAGCGAGAGTCCCTTTAAAGCAGAGGCTGCGTTCATCCAGATTAGGCTGCAGTTGCATATCAGTGCCATAAGGGTCCTCGGCACTGGTCTCGGTGTGATCCAGGAGTTTAAGCACACAGCCTAGATAAATATTAATTTGTCAATCTTTATTAGAAATCTACTTTTAAAGCTGATTCGCAGTGAAGTCACTTAGACGAAATCATTGCACACTAAACAATCCTGTTAGGGTTGTTTATCCAAGCAAAGGACATTCAATTGCATTTTCATTAGTAGCACTATATGGTTATTGTCCTTAAAGACAAGGTTCTTAGACTTAATCTGTTTTTTTACCGTTATATCTAATTGCTTACAGTTGAATTTTCTTAAGAACTAAAAGCTCAGTTTTACTAATCTTTGGCGTTACAAAATCAGGTTGCCTGTAGATTAATGAAACAAAGATTTGAGGACCAAAGGTGGTCCTGCCCAGTATCGTAGCCCTGCCAGTGCTCTCTGAAACTTTAAGGAGTTGTGGATTATCTAATTCTAATGATGAACATTATGTAACAGAACATTATTTAATGAGAAAGTGACTGGCTGTGATGAACAGCAGGCAACTTATCTATCAGGAAAAGAGTATAATTTTAAACAGAAAATATGATATTTCTCTCTGCTAAATTCTATACAGCTCAAGAAGATGGGAAAAATGGTTGATCTCAACCTTTTTACTTTCTATACAAGGCTTCTGGAGGGACAAGTCCTCCCATTAAATGAGGGGGAGAGTTTCTGGTTTCCTTGCCTTGTATCTCTCTCTGTCCCACCTGTGGGACAGAGGCAGCAGAGCCTACACCAAAGGTCACCACTGGCTTACTGAAACAAGTAAATAGCTGTCTGAGACTCCTCCTTCAACTTCGATCTCAAGATAGCCATGGATTTTGGGAGCCTGAAGTTGAGCCTTTATTTTTGAAAATGGGGGGAAGAAAATTGTTTCTTTCATAATAATGCTTTTAGGTTTTAGCTTATTATCTGCTCTCTTGACTGCCCAGGTAAACAATATCCACAGCTTTCCCCTCATCCACTAAGTGGGTCACCTTATCATAGAAGGAGATCAAGTTTGTCAAGCAGGACCTGCCGTTCATGAACCTATGCTGACTGGGCCTGATCACCTGGTTGTCCTGTACATGCCATGTAATGGCACTGAGGTTGATCTGTTCCATAATCTTACCCGACACCAAGGTCAGACTGCCAGGCCTGTAGCTCCCTGGATCCTCCTTCCAGCCCTTCTTGTGGGTGGGTGTCACATTTGCTAAGCTCCGGTCAACCGGGACCTCCCCGGTTAGCCAGGAGTGCTGATAAATGATGGAAAGCGGCTTGGTGAGCACTTCCACCAGCTCCCTCAGTTCACATCTATTTGTACTCATTTTTGCAGTGCTAACACTAGTTAAAATCAGGGTATATTTTACTTAAGTCCGTTTTCTCCATTTAACAGTTACAAAAACATTGCTACCTAACAAAAGGTGTGCTATAACATTAGTAAATAATGGTTTTGTTTCTTGTACAGCTTTGCAGTAAAGGTATTGCTATAGACAGTGCCTATGAGTCATCTCCAGAAGATATTTCCAGTATCACCAGTTTTATTGAAACAAAGCTTGTAGCCTGCTACTTAAAACTGAAGAAGCCTGACGATGCTCTGAATCATTCACACAGGTAAAAATAAACATTGATTAGATATGCTGCTAAGACTGGAATCAAAAATTAAACAAAGACTATGAATAAATCCTACGTAGGAAGAATCAGTCTAATAATGAGAAAAGAGGAATCAATAAAATACAACTTAAACATGGCGTTGATGTCTAGAGCAGACTAATTCTCAAAATTTGATACATTAACCCACAATAGCCATATATATGTTTACTGTTTTGATAATCCATTAGATGAGGATATTGCAGGTGAGTTATGTACATAGTTCAGGGCACCCTTAAGATTGAAGCTAGACGAATATAAACATGCTTGGCCTTATGTGACAGTAACGATATTATGAGCTCTTAATCTTTTTCAAGCCAGATTAGATCAAGGATGACTTCAGATTATTTTCATTACATAATTCCTTCATGGGCTCACTTGTGATCCACATCAAAGACCAGCACCACCAGCAATGCATAACAAAACCAGAAACAAAACTTGCACATGGTGGAGATGAAATTCCTATTAGTTTCAGGCGAGTTAGGATTTTGCTGGGTTTGTTCTGCCTTTAATTAGCATTCAGGCATAACGATAGTTTCCGTTAAGCGCATGCACGTCCTACCAGCAACACTTCATTATTGAGGTCTCTGTGCATTTTTTCCCTTATGTGAGATGTATTAGGATGGACACTGCAATTAGCGCAGGGCGAGGATTTTTTCAGACAATCATCTGAAATGAATGTAGCTACAAAAGAGAAGACACAACAAAAGAGGAACCACATGCTTATGCCTAATGTACAGGAGAGAGTGGCGAGGAAAAACATGTTGGTATAGAAATGTGATGCCATCACGGCACCAGGTTCATTTAGTTACATGCAAAATCATAGGAAGTCTGAGAATCCTGACTTAATGAAAAAGTCTTCATCTCCTTTCCCCACCCATCTCCACCCCTTTCCCAAGCACTTTTTGTCTATAAAGCTATGCCTGCCTGGAGCCTGTCCACATTGTGGGGGTACACCCTTCAGAGTAGTCCCAAGTACCATCTGGGTTGGGGGCCTGAAGGCCCATGAGTGGCGAGAGAACATTGGGTGCGCTCCCAGGGCACATCTCGCAGGCATACAAACTGTATTCCTTTTACGTGAAGTATTCTGCTAGGTGAGCCAAAGCATAGGAAGTGGGAAAGACTGTGAGATTCCCGTTTAAAAACACAAACAAACAAAAAACCCAACAATACATCAACAACAACAAACACTGAAACAACCCAACACCAACAACAAAAAAAAACCAACCCACACCACCCAAAATACACACTCCTCATGCAAACTAAAAACCAACCACATTCTTTCAAGGCTTCACAAAGACCACATTAGGAAAAAAAAAATACATATATACAAAGTTTGACTGGACTCCCAACTTTTGGACAAATGGTGATGATCTCTCTCTCATTCTAACTGTGATTTCCAAGAATGCTAAAATAAGAAGGAAGCTCTTTGAACAGTATAAATACAATTAGAACAGAAAAGACTTTTCTTTACCTCCTTTAAGTTATCGTGATTTCAAAATAGTAAGATCTGTTGACCCCAGTGCTACAGAAACAAAAGTCTATTCAGACATGCTCTGGTTTCAATTGTCTTAAAACAGAAACCATGACCTACAGAAACCCATGACCTACAGAGAAAATAAACGCAGTCAGATTGAGATCACTGGAAAACTGAAGTAGGAAAAAAATACTTCACTCTTCTTTCTTATGTATAATTATAACTATTTGTTCTTAACTCTAGTTCCATAGCACACAGAAAAGTGGCAATCAGTAATGCCTATTTTCCAAATAATTCATTTACTGACTTGCAGAATGGGAATAAATCTACTGACCATGGTTGTCATATTGTAAAATGCAGGAACGGATACAATAGTATACCAGTAAAAAATATTCTAAGACATAATTAACATAAAGACAAAACCTGAAATATAATCAATAACTATATTTTTCAAAAAAAAGGACAAATAAATTACTCCGAGCTCTCCTACTAAAAATAGCTTACTGCCATCAGTTAACTAGTGCATATAGAATTTTTATTCCTATTGAGTTTTTATGTCATCACCACATTGTAATGGTTTGCTGGTAATCCTTTGGCATTAATCACGAATCCAAATTAAAATATTCATTTCCGCATTTATTTGCATTTACTGAACTATTCTTTCTTTAATTTCATGTAAATTTCACAGCTCCTGCATTCATTTCTGAAGTCTTATTAACCAAAAATCAGCTTTAACATTCTCACACACAGTTGTATCAAATATATAGAAGTGGGTTTTGCTATGAAGAAATCTTACAAAACATCACAACTAGAGAAACAGAGAAAATAAAGAAAAATTCCTGCAGCTCAGTTTTAAAGTGTTCAAGAACAGGCATTTGCAGGAGAATAGCTTTCCCATTCTTAAGAAAGGAAAAGGAGTACAATTTGCATCACCAGCTTTAGATCCTGCATGAGAAGCCAGATCTGGGTCCTCCTGAAGTAGAAATTGTATTCTCTGGTTTCTTAATATCAGAATTTAAGGCTGCCTTTAGCATCACTGGCACAACTGAGGACACTGGCTGGGCTCTGATCATTTGTCAGGTTGGTACAAAAGATTTACCCTTTGCAATCAAACACTATTAAAACCACTTCTCATCCGTCACAGCTCTGAACAAACATGCCATGGATTGACCTCACCAAGCAACATCTGCAGTAAGCTACTTGACCACCACTTTTCATCATAAGATAGCCATCAAAATAATTCCTAACTTGCAATTTGAAGCTATAAAATGAATCACACAATATTTACATGCCCTGTGGTCCTTTTGGCCCAGGCATTATGGCATACCAGGGTTTAATGATCTTAATAACCCCATATGGCTTGCTGAGAAATTAGATTTTCCCTTTGGTTGCAGAAGGCAATTTTCAATTATAGCAGATGGCAAAACAGTGAAGGTCTGAGAAGTCAAGAACTGACTAAGAAACCTCAGATTAGTACTTGGGCCTTATGTTGCTCAGCCTAATAATGTCAGTGGTTGAATTTTTGCCCCAAAAGAAAACAATCTTGAAGCAGAGCATAGCGTTTCAGTGGAGCAGTCCCCCAATTACGCCTGCTCTTCAGAGGGCCAGGCCCAACAGAGAAATCCATAAAGCTGCAGTCGCATGTGGAAAAACAACCCATGGTGCATCACGTACACAGCACTGCAAAAGTTAAGGTTCAATTTTGTTTGAAATTGGAGAGAGCGATGCTGAACTCCATGACAACTGAAGACAGAGGATCCTTCAGAACAGGATAACTCATGGCTTTCTTGGTGAGACTCGATCTCCCCTCACAGTTTCTTTATTTTCCCTTTTTCCTCCAAGCAAGCTAAAATACATCTGCATTGACACCATGTGACTTGCTGTTTGCACATGGGAAAATAACACAGAAACTCTCTGGTGGAAATACGCTTTTTACTGCTGCACATACACTTCCACAGCCGCTACGGTCCTCATGGCACACAAGATTTGAAGAATGAGACACGTGGTTTGATCCAGTTCTGCTGCTGTTCATAGAGATCCTGTACACGGATCCAGCACTAGAAAATGTGGAAGAAGTTAGCATCACCTACCCAGCAGCAAGTGACAAAAAGCATTTTGTTTCCTTTCCGCCTAATTTTGACCACTCCCTGCCCAGCTGTAGCGGGGCTGCTGGTGCCATAGGACTCCTCTGGAAATAAGCTCCTCAGCAGGGGAACAAAGCTGCCTGCCACAGGGGAAGTGTGACACCTCTGCCCAATGGGATTGCCATCGGGCCATAGGAAGCCCGCGGCTGGTGGCGGGAGACGCGTTGGGAAGTGCCATCTGGAAGGATGTTTGTGACCTGCCTCCTCCCAGGGCATCCCTGGGCTTTGCTCCCTGCCCTTCTTCCCTTGATCTGGAAATTGTGGACATCAGGGCCGAGGGGAGGAAGGGGAATCGGACATTGTGGCAGGTTTCTTTAACGTTACCTCCAAACAAAGCCTGAAAAATATGTTCATGATAATGAGGACTGCTGTACGGAGCTATTGAAAATCTTTGGGGGTTAGCAAAGATTTTCCTGTGTCCTTGCAGACTCTGCTCCGCAGCATGACCCGCTGCCAATTCCCTCCCTCCCTCCCAGAAAGGCAATGCATAGAGAATGTAATAAATCTGTAAGGCTTTTTCTGCTATGCCTTTTTATGTGTTCGGTGGAAGGCAGGGCTCTCTAATGCCTTTTGCACAATTCATAGGGAGACACATGAAGTAGAAAATAGCACCTCTGTTAAGTAGTACACGATTGCTTTAGTGATGACTTAACAGAGGGTATCTCTTATGGAGGCACAGTGGGGAAAAAATCTAAAACAGCTGAAGCCTCACAGATTTAATTCTAAATCCTCTGCATTTTCCCCAGCGACTTTTCGAACACTTACAAAAGGTTTAAAATAATTATTAATGATCAAGCTTTAAGCAATATCTGTCAGGAAAAAAAGGCATCTCAAAACTTGGTCAGTGTATTATAGACAGGATAAATCAGGACTCTTTAATCCAGATTAATTCAGAACGTTCAGACTCAAAATTCAATATTCAGCTAGTTCTTCATTCCCTAGCTTCCTTATTTTGCACCTTTAGAAGACGACTATATTAAAGTAAGTTGAAGAATGGAATTCTAGTGAAATATTAAATAATCAAAAATAAATAATGCAATGATGCTATGATACAGCGCAGTCAGTGGGCATTAAAATAGAGACAGAATAGAAAAAGAGCTCAAGAGAGGCATAGATTTTTAGGTAGAAGTAGAAAACTGAGAAACATAATGGCTGATGCTGCTAATCTGTGGGAATTCTGTCATGTAAAGTATACTTTGCTCTAAACTAGTCTCCTAATCACTTTACCTCCTCAGAAAAGGGAAGAAAAAGAAAGAGAAGAATTAGCAGCACCTAATTACTTTAGCAATTGTGTTAGGCATATTGCAATATACATAATAGATGAGATATTATTAATACAAAGC